GCCATAACAAAGTTACAAAGTTACCATTATAGCACTTAAACACGGAAAAAGGCAGATTTTCATATGTCACCTTTAATATTAATTTACATGTTATATTGCATAAAACTGTCCTTAATATAAAAATAATAACTTTCAGTCACTTTCAGATAAACAGTGCCCCAGGAACAGCGTAAAGAGAAAACTTGGATGCACCATCTATCAAGCCATGTGCTCTGGCTACTCCTTGCTTTTGAATAAACAAAATGGCTGAACAGAAACTAGATGGCAGTGTAACCCAAATAATAATTTCAAAATAAAATTCCTGATGAAGTCAAAGAAGGCAGCACATTATTTGTAACACCATTAAGGTCCTATATAGCATTATATAGCAACCCTATAGACCAATTATAGGTTTGTAAACATTCAGGATGCGCGCGCATCATGGTTGCAGAAAACCCGGGAGAGATAGCCTTTATGGCTAGAGAATTTCACGGATAGGGGACAAAATAGGTAGGGTTAAAAAGATTATAAATGTTTGTAAACATTCAGGATGCGCGCGCATCATGGTTGCAGAAAACCCGGGAGAGATGGCCTTTACGGCTAGAGAATGAATTTTAGGTTTAAAAAGATTATAAATTATATTGATTAGATGTCATTTTCAAAATGTTCTCCGCATATTACAAGAGCTTGTCACCCAGCGATAAGCACTGTTATTCAACTAAATTGACGTTAGAGAGTGGGATTGTCTTACAGATCCGAAACAGGGTTGACGTTTGTTGTGGGCGGAGCCTATCTGGAGGCAGAAAATGACGGTTTTCAAGTGGCAGTCTATGGAGCCATGGAATAAAAGAATAAAAAAAGGCTAATTTGATTTTATATTTCAAAATTCTGACTTTATTCTCGCAGCTTCCGAGATTATATCTCCGAGATTATATCTCACAATTCTAATAAGGAAAAACAACTCGTCATTCTCTCTTTTCCCTCAGATTTGACAAACTCACTATTTTTGAGTTAAGTCGAGTTATAAAGTCCGAATTAGGAGATATAAACTTGCGAGAAAAAAAAAAAAAAGTCAGAATTGTGAGATAAAATAAATAATATGTAAAAATGTTAATAGTACGGTTTAACGTTAAATAATATTTCATGCTGTAACTGTAGGGCTAATACAATACGTCCCCTATGAACAGCATATGTGAATATTATGTAGACCTATTGTTTAAATCGAATTTATGCTTTAAAAGTAGAGTAATCATAACAGTTTTCATCCATAGTATGTCCATTTAAAAGTCTGCGTTTAGCTTCAAATGGCATCTTTGAGGACAGTATTCTATAAAAATTATTTGCATTCCGATATTGACATCAAAAGGCACAAAAATATATTTTTTCTTTTATTCCATGGATTTTACCCATTTATCTCCACTTGTTCCCAGAGTTTTTCTGCAACCACTATGCGTGCGCAGCTGCAAGTGACGTAACTGTGACGTCTACTCTAAATTGGTCTATAAAAAGGGTTCTATTTAGCACCAAAAAGGGTTGTGCTATTGTTATACGCTGAAGAACCCTTTTCTGGTACTGTTTAGAAAAAATTTTCTTAAAGAGTGTATGTGTGTGTATATATTAGGGCTGTCAATCGATTAAAAATTTTAATCTGATTAATCACATCCTTTTTCTGTGATTAATCCCGATTAATCGCACACTTCATGAAATTAAGCATAGACCATTTATCTTGTTTCAAATGTTTATTTTGTTATCATTTGGTATATCCAGCAAAGTAAACCAAAAGATTGAAGGGTGATTCTCAAAAATCTATATTTTCTGCAAGCTTTTTTCAAGATAAATTTAGACATCTTTCCAAAAAAGGACACTTAAACTCCAAAAGGACACCAAAGAACCAAATGATATAAGGAGCCCATAAAAGCACATATGAAAGAAGGGAAAAAATCTGAATTTTATAGTATGTGTACAGTGCAACAGCAAAGAGCTTTTTTACATTTGAGAGAAGCCAAGTTGCCATACCGAACAGGACCACATGGAGATGCAAAAAAAAAAACTAAACCAACCGCCTGCTGACTGCATATATCTACTACAGTACACGGATCCATTCCGTATAACATGACAAATCAAAACATTATCGTGAATGTGTGTGGAAACAATGTGAATGTACGGAAATGTCTGTGTGCATAAAGAGCACTCATACACACATTATTATAACGGACTCACGCGTGCTTACTGTACGACTCCTGTACGCCACCGCAATCGTCTTTACATTGATTGCAGTCTTCATCCATGAAAACTTTACTAGTGAGACTGGTTATCAAGTCGAGAAACCGTAGCTTGCGTCTCATCTGGCCATACAGCGGTGGGATGTGTTGACAATCCTTTCAGTCTGTACTTCACACAGCGCGTGTGACGTGTAGTGATGGGAAGTTCGGATCATTTTACCGACTCGGACCTTTGAGTCTCGGTCAGCAAAATGAGCGAATCTTTTTTCGAGTAATTTCGTTCATTTTAGCAAAATATAATTAAAATGTTATGTGTTACTTACCTAACATGTCTACTACTTAAGCAAACGTTGATCACACCACAAACAATACAAAACTGCTATAAGAAACAGAAAATATTAATTCATTGTTTACCTGGGTCTTCAGTCTATGATTAGCTCACCTCACCTCTTATCTGACAAGTCTTCGGGTTTGAGTCGTTCGTTTATCACGTGACAGCCCCATAAACTGCAGTCTGAGCCGGAAAGATAATTGATTAGTTCATCTCTCGAGTCTTCGGGTTTTCACTCCCCGAGACGACTCGTTCTTCCCGAGTCATATTAAAGATTCGTTCAAGAACGACCCAAAACTAGTGACGTGTGATGGCTCGCGCTCTTCAGAGACATGACAGAGCTCGTGTTTTAAAGCGAAACACACTGAAATTAATAATTCACTTAAAATGCAATGCGAGTCTCTGTTCTCTCTGCAATCTCTGATGTAATCAGCCTGGTTTCCTTTATATTAGCGCTGTTTTGGACGGATTGTTTGAATGCATTCGCTTACTGGATCATTGGACTGAAAACTTTCCCGGAGTTTAGCAGCTTCTAATAGCAAGCAGAAAAGCAAAATTGGGTTAAAGGGTTAGAATAGAAATTGTGCTTCAGTAATTTTGCGTTAATTGCGTAAAATTATTTTAACGTGTTAAGGATTGTAAAATTAATGGCATGCGTAAACGATGACAGCCCTATTGTATATATATATATATATATACACACACACACACACACACACACAAGACCAAGAACTTATTAAAAGATTTTGTTTTAGCAGGGCTGAATTGTTGAAATTAACTGATTAATTATTGTTGTGTGATTGTTTCACAATCTGTGTAATTTCATTTTCTTTTTTTGGCTCAGCAGTAATTTTTTATCTATTTGTTGGAGCCAGTAAATTTAAGTTTGTAACCACAGCATCATGAATGGTGTCTCAACTATCACTGCGGTAGAATGTGTCAGTGTTGACACTGGGTGTAGCTGCACCTAGTAGTAGTTTCAGAAAATGTAAACATTTATCACACCAAACTTTTTTACGTCCAGCTGGGGCAACCGGAGTTCAGTCGACTCCAACCTTTGGAAATGACTCTTCTCAAGAGTCCCAGCCCTGCTACATATTTCCATGCAGGAACACAGAATATTTGCTTCCCAGTGCTAGATCCGCTAGAGCTGTTTAATCTGACATATGCAGCTTGTGTACATGATAGCTGGGTTTGGGGGACTGAACTACAGCAGCTGATACAGGAAATCAGCAGCCTAATAAATAGGGACTGACAAAGACTGGCACAAGTATTTTGTATTTTGAAATTTTGTAAACTTAAAAGTAATTCAATAAAAAATTACTTTAGATTAAAAAAAGGCTTTAAAATACATACAAAATACGAAATAGTATTTTGTATTTCAAATACGTATTTTAAATAAATGTATCTGAAATACTGCCCATACCTGCCTGTGAGATAAGATTCAAACCAGTTGAGCGGAGTTCCTGTGATGCCCAGTGATGAGAGGGTGGACAGAAAGATCTGATGATTTACGTTGTCAAAGGCAGCAGATAGATCCAGCAGAATGAGAACTAATGATTTGGGATCAGCTTTCGCAATCTGCAGAGCTTCAGTGACCAACTGTAATGCAGGGTTGGAGACCCTTGGTCTACAGACATTCACACTAAATTCTTGCTGGAAAAATGTTGGTGTGATGTCTAATATAGATTCTGTCAAGAATCCCCAAATCAGTTACTTCATCCAAATACTTTTTATTTAACATAAATAATTATAAATATTTCCATTTTGGCCTAATATTTTCCCTTACATCAGAGACTGATTGTTTATATGTAAATTAATTTTGGGTTACAGTGTAACTATGCATTTAAGTACTGAGTAATATTAATTAACTACATGAACTTATTATAAGGTTAGGGTTAGGATTAGGGTTTGGCTTAAGGCTACTTGCATGTAATTATGCATAATTAATTGTTATTATAATAGTAAGTAAATGCAACATGTGTAACAAGGACACCTTAAAACAAAGTGTTACCAAATTCTGTTTATAAAAACACCTAATTCATAAAATTAGAGATTTAATAAATAGTCATGGCATTAATTTAAGTGTTTTGACAATGAACGTAGAACAATGTTTAGTTTGATGTGAAAACCAAAATACAATCATGATTTGTGTTGTTACTAGACACTAGTTAACTTCTGAAGCACATTCAAGGTGGGAAATCATTACAGGCTTCTCAGAAATAAGGTCAAGGAGAATGGAAGTCTCATTAAAAAGTTCATCAAAGGGAAAAGTGATTGCCCATGCTGTCCTATAGAACAAGCTTACAGTCCAAAAACTTTCCAACATAAACTGGTGAAACCTGATACAAGATCAACTTCTGGGAAACAATATTAAATATTAATATTGATACAAATATTTAATATTAAATTCAATATTAAAAACAATATTACAGTAATGTTAATGTTTTAAAAGAAATATGCAAGTACATCAAGCGGTTCACACATTACATTTCATCGACTTATTTTCATGGTAATCTACCTAAAGATTAATGCATGTAAGATATGCATTGGAGATCAATATCAATCACAGCTTAACTGGCTAGTGATTACTGCAGACAGCTGGGGGTGTACTGGAAAGATGCCATCTGTACACGCTTCTGTAAGCGTTCCACATCCAAGTCTCTGAAATAATTATTTTCGTCATTCTGAATGATGACCTTCTGCAGCTCGCCAATCTCGTTCTCCGTCTTATTTCTTAACTCTCTTTTCATTTTCTGCAGAGCCTGTTAGAAATGCATACTTTTAGAACAAATTATTTAGGAGGGGAAAAAATTACAGATTTATGTATACATACATATAACAAATATATCAGTTATACATGCGCTATATTATATATTGGATCTCTCACACACACACACACACACACACACATATATATATATATATATATATATATATATATTACGCAAAACCCACTTCATTTTGATAATGTTGACTTAATATTGTAAATAAATATAATAATATAATAATAATAATAATAATTATAATAAACAAATACATAAAA